ACAAAAGTGAAGATGGTAAAACAAGATCTCAAGGATGATTTCTCGTGAATATAACTATGAAAAGGAATTCCTCGGGACAAGAAGGGGCAAAATAGGAAGGAGCAATAGTGAATGATTTCTTGCCACCGAAATGCATCCTCATGTTGTTGTTTTTCTTCTTCTTCTTCTTCTTCTTTTGCCTTGCGGGCTTCTTTTGACTAAAGTCCTGCCGAAAGAGGCGCACGCTAAAAAGCGTTGGTGGGTTTTCTTTTTCCACACTAGCATGACCCATCTTCCTTTTCTTTGCTTTATTGCTTTATATCTTTTCATTATTATCACTTTACTCTTTTATTGAGATTTTCCTCAGATTCTCTCGGACCATTTCGCCGTGAATGACGGTTTGAGGTTCCCGGCGGGTTAATTACTTCGATAGTTAATTGATAGGCGGCCCCCATTTGATTAGATGATTTCCTTTTTTTGGCCGGCAGCATCTGATGAATGATTCCATAGCACAAATTCAATACTTTATGGAGATTTTCAATGATAATTTGTAAAATAACACACGTTCGCCATTTCGCATGACGGGTTTTACTTAATGGCAATTTAATTACAATTGCTAGCAATATGTGGTTTTTTTTTCATCAATTTTTTTTTTTTGGTAAGGTTTTTTTCATCAATGTTGTTAAAAAAGATGTGCACTTTTACTCAATAAGCACGGGCTTTTCGTCATTTGAAGTTTAACAAAATAAATCCGGGTTATTTACAAGTAATGTTAATAAGTATACTAAAATTGATATATTAAGTGATATTGATCAAATCATCTTAGCAAGTGAATGAATGGATTCATGAAAATAGATACTATACAAGTGTGAAAATACAAACAGTTCTCATTTTTTTTATAAAAAGGTCATTTTCGGAAAAACTGAATTTTCCAGATCTAGAGAATCTTGAGCTTTCCAAATTGCTATTAAAAATGTCCTTAACTTTCTACTTTATCAGGGAGAACATAAATTTTCAGTTTTGTATTAAGATGACATGGAATCTTAATTTTCTTTGAAAAAAGTCTTGACCTTTCGATTTTATATTGCAGCAAGATATCTATATCGCAGATTTGACAAATAAGTTTAGTAGATAATTTCAGAGTTTCTACCTTAGCCCCTTGTCTAACGTATGCCATCACAACACTTGTCTTTTATTTCTTGGTTTTTTTTCTTAGCCTGATCAGCCCATCAAACTAGATCGACCGGAGTTCACCTTGATTAGGATGGGGGCAAACGAACTTGGTTGGAAGTTTGATGTCTGCTTTTGTTGACTTCGACTTTGAATGAATCCGCCCATTTATTTGTTTGGGTGGCAAAAGTTGATTGTAATCCCCACAATATCTGCACCACACGTCCAGTAATTTTGCCGCGTTAAGGAACGCAAATAATTATCAAATTTTGACAGGCTGGGAGCGATGCTTCAAGGAAGCATCCTTATTGACCAATTTTGCAGCAAAACTGGCCCACGGCTCTCTCTCCATATTCACCCAATCCTTTGGCTTCTCCAAGTTCAATGACCAACCAAAAAGTCATTCAAAAAAATCTTCCTCTTATTAGTTTCTTAATGTTCTGTGGTGAAGGAGGAACAAAGGGTCTTGATACTTAAGGCCCCCATGCATCTATACAAAAAGTCTTTCTTTTCCTTTGATAAGAGTAGGAGTCAGGCAGTGGGATCCCACCTATTTTCTCTTCTTCCCCGAGCTTTTGAGCTAATGGAGGAAGCTCGATTTCGATTCGAACGAAAGGAGTCAGATTTAAAAAAATCTGCAATGATACTTCTAAACTTTCGATTAGTAAACCAAAAGCTTAGCGGAGTATAATCAAAGCTAAAGCTATCAGAGAACAAATTTAATTTTCCATTGGTCTCAATTCAGGGAATTTGATACTTCCTAAGAGGTTTTTTTGACTCATCGAGTCATCGTGATTTAATATCTTCAATCTTAAATTTTTTGTTGGTCACACTAGGATTTATGTCTAAAAAGACTTAAGAACTTGTGAATTCAGGAATGGAACATTTTTACACCTCCGGATCTGACGAGATTTTATTATCTATCGTGAAACATGAAATGTTTAGTTACAGCGAAATTGATTTAGAAACTTAGAAAAATACTCACAAGAAAAAACTTTATTTTCTAAATAATCTGGCCAATCATGGCATCAATCAAATAAAAAAATTGATACTGTCTAATTTAACTAAATGAAAATGGAATGTGTCATGTACATATAGTTTGGTATTGATTCGAAATGTAATCATTAGATTAATAGTTGCATGAGATTGGTCGATTTGATTTTGATGCGGACGCCAACAATCTAAAACCTAAGCTCCCTATGCCTCGTTTTAAGGTAGTATTAACATTAGCTACCACTCTCAGAAAGAGAGAAGAAAAAAAGACAAAACAGCATATGGTTGGTGCAAGAAGATTGAAACATCACGGGTCTAGAAGGGCAAAGTCAAAAGTCTATGAAGACTCGGACTACGAACAGTCCATGAACCAACTTGCTCGAGAAGGAATCACACCAATGATTCATCTTGCGATTCCCTCCGATCAAATATCATCATATGAAAATTGAAAATCACATAAAAACAAACTTTTAGAGTGTGTTTATCTCGGTGAGGATTTTCTTGTCATAGGAAAATTTTTTTAGGAAATTTAATTTCAGAGAAATTAAACTAAAAAAATTGATTATGGTGAAAACAAGTTGAAAAAATTGATTTTATCGTAATTGGTAATAAGTGAAATCCATGAAAGGCGGCTTGTATTGTTAAAAGTAACATATAATGACTAATAAACTCGAATCGATATCGTCTTTATTTATTTTGTAATCCCATCAAAATAACAATGATTACAAAGAAATTAGGATAAAAATTATGAAACCATATTTGTAAAGTATTATATATGATCTTGTTTTTGGGAATGTAAGAAAATTGAGCACTGATGAAGTATATTCTTCTCACTTCAACACAGCAAGAGATCAGGAAAAACGATTCCTTCTTACCAAATCATTATTCTCTAAGCTTATTATTTTTAGTCCATGGTAAACATTTTATATTGATCAAATAATTTCACGTAATTCAAATACCGGAAAAGTATGGAGATTTTTTTCTCAAAAATGATTTTTTATCAAACAAACTGACCCTAAGTTAAATAAAGAAGATGGTAAAACAGGATCTCAATGACAATTTTTCGTGAATATAACTATGAAAATAAATTCCTCTCAGTAAGGGAAAAAATCTTGCCGACAACAAAAAGGCACGCTAAAGCATTGGCAGGGTCTTCTTTTCCGCGTTCGGATGACCCATCTTCTTTTTCTTTGCCGTATTGCTTTATGTCTTTTCATTATCACTTTTTGCTTTTAACCAGGTTTTCCTTGGATTCTCGCAAACCAGTTTCGTCGTGAACGACGGTTGAGGTCTTCGGTGGGTTTATTACTTTGATAGTTGATTGATAGGTGGCCACCATTCGATAAAAGATTTTCTCTTTTTTGGCTGGTAGCATTTGATAAGTAGGGCTTCTGAATTTTTTTCATCTCTGAACCATTTCTCGAAGAAAAGATCAAGTGAGATCAATGGAGGGGAAGCGATGCTTGGTTTATTCATCATTGGATTGATCATAATCCGGACTCTGAAAAGCTTATGATATTGTACATGCCAATTCTTTACGGGTGACTTTGGTTGGCTAAAGAATGGTTGATAGAAGATAGTTTTGGTAGCTACTGCTTATGTTGGTTGTCATTGAGTCAGTATCGTGAAACTTGAGTTACGAAGTGGCTATTTTCTATGGGGAAACACGAAATGTTCAGTTACCACAAAATTGATGTAGAAACTTGAAAAATACTTACAAAATAAACACCATATCTTCAGAGAAACTTTGATCTTTAAATAGACTAACCAATCGTGTCATCAATCGTCAGAAAAGTTGATACTGTCTAATTTAACTAAATGGAAATTACGAAATTGCCATATACATATAGTTTTACCTTGCATCGAAATACAATCATTAGATTAAAAATTGCAATAGCTACCACTCTCCAAAGAAAAAAAAAAAATAAAAGAACAGCGTGGGGGGGGGGAGGAGATGTGTGTCACAGAACTAGAAGGGCAAAGTCAAAGTATTCGAAGACTTGGACAACGAACAGTCCGTGAACCAGATTTCTCAAGAAGGAATCACACATCGACCAAAACAAAAAGGAATCACACCAATAATTCATTTATCTGCGCGTGCGGGAGGACAAAAACGTCAAAGAAAATCTCCGCGATCAGGCACAGGAACAGCAACTCGTATGACCAGACGGGGGGGGGCTGTTTTCCCCAAAATAGCCCCGACTCGACACCCAAACCACGAAAGTGACCCTACAATTATGTACCAGCGAAAACGCGCCGCGGGCAAGTGCGCGGGCCATTCATCGCAACGCGGTGTTGTCAGAAACTCCACAAAGACAAAGATTATTAAAATTCAAGAGCATCATAACCGAAAGTACTCGATTGCTCCCATCTTTTTAGAATTCCACTAGTTTATTTACTCCGCAATTGTATCTTCCTGTTTTTTTCAATTGCGTTATGACGGTGAAGATAAAAGAGAAGAATTGAGTTGGGAGGGACCACTTTGGTTTTGAAAAAACTTGCATTTGTCCACTTTGACAGGCTGTAATGAATCATTCTTATTGACCAATTGATGATCAACAGATTCCAGAAAATAACGTGGTTTTGGCCATTTGTGGTGGGTGGGGAACCAAAAACGTCGAAGAAAATCTCCGCGATCAGGCACAGGAACAACAGCTCATATGACCAGAAGGGGGCTGTTTTCCCCAAAATAGCCCCGACTCGACACCCCACCCCGCAATTGTATATTTTTCTTTTTTCAATTGCGTTGTGTCGGTGGAGATAAAAGATAAGAATTGAGTTGGGAGGGGCCACTTTGGTTTTAAAAGAACCTGCATTCGTCAACTTTGACAGGCTGTAGCGAGCCATTCTTATTGACCAATTCTAGCAAACTGGCCCTCGACTCTCTGCATATTAGCCAATCCTGTCTTCCTCGTTTAATGACCCACAGTGATCTCCATTTGTAATTCTCGTACTCACGCTTACACTAGTGATCATGGCTTCCAAACTTTTTCCATCTCTTGCTGCCCCTGTTTTTGCTGCTATGCTGTTCATTTTTTTCTTGAAGAGAAGATCGAGGGAGATCAATGGAGGGGGTGCAAATAACAATGCAGCTGCAAACGATGAAACAGCAGGAGGCGCTTCTTCTTCTCGCACTTCAACAGAAGGTCGTCAAGGAATGGCTACTTCATCAGGATATGACTATGAAGTATTCTTAAGCTTCAATGGATCAGATACTCGAGCAGGTTTTACCGACTTCCTTTACACTAGTCTTGATAATGCGGGAATCCGCACATTTAAGGACGACAAAGAGCTCGGCGTCGGGGAGGAATTTGCCCCAGAACTTCTCCAAGCAATTAATCAGTCGAGGATCTCAATACCTATCTTTTCGAAAGGCTATGCCTCTAGCGTATGGTGTCTCAAGGAGCTAGTCCAGATGGTCGAGTGCCAGAAAACTGGAAGACAAAAGATCATCCCTATTTTTTATGATGTGGCGCCTTCAGAGGTTCGGCACCAAACAGAGGGTTATGCAAAGGCCTTTCTTGCACATGAAAACAAGAAGCGACACGACGAAAAGACTATTCAAGGGTGGAAGGATGCTCTCAGTGCAGTGGGAGCAATAAACGGATGGGACCTGCATAGCAAGAAGGAGAACAGGTGATTGCTTTAAGCATTCCAGCTCATGTACCTTGTACCATTAAAACTTTATGTGTTTCAGGTTTCTTTTCTAGATTTTTGTTAGCCCTGTTTAAATTGAATTCTGAGTTATTGAAGTTATACTGCTGAAATCTCGCTAAGTAATGGCACAATCCCAATTTTGTCCCATTTTATTCCAAGCATCATTTTTTTTCCAGTTTAGTTCATTCATTAACTGTAAGTACCAACGCTAATTCATCTACAATGGAATAAATCCTTGAAGAACACATTCCGAATTTAATTTGGTCTTGTCAGAATATAGTTAATTCAACACAATTTTCTAACTCATTGTCTTTTGCCTCCAACAAACACTAGGCGAGAAGGAGAGTTCGCAAAAGAACTTACCCATAAGGTTTTCAGCGAGTTGAAAAAGGGTTATCTAGCGGTATCAGACTACTTGGTCCGTGTCGACAACCATGTGGACGCAATCATGGAAAAGATAGGTGCTGAGACAAGTGAAACACGGATTATAGGAATCCACGGGATGGGTGGCATCGGAAAGACGACTATTGCCAAAATCATCTACAATAAGCTTAAAAAAAATTTCGAGGGCTTTACCCAAAAAAAAAAAAAAAAATTCGATGGTTGTTGCTTCCTTTCTAACGTCCGTGAAACCTCAAAACTCGAGGGCATTCACCGCTTGCAGCATCAGCTCATCTCTGACATCCTCAACATGAAATGCATGGATATAAGAAATATTGATGAAGGGATTAAGACCATTAAAGACAGGTTGTCTAATAAAAGAGTCCTCCTTCTTCTCGATGATGTGGCAGAAAAGGATCATATGGATGCACTTGTAGGAAATGGTGATTGGTTTGGTGAAGGGAGCAAACTCATTATTACTACAAGAAAGAAAGATGTTCTCATTGTTCCGGAAGTGGACTGCACTTATGAGGTTAATGGCATGGATGACTGTCAATCTCTTCAACTCTTTAGCAAACATGCTTTCAGAAGAGACTCTCCTTTGATTGAGTATATTGACCAATCCAAGAGGGCAATAGGCATTGCTAGAGGTCTTCCGCTAGCTCTTGAGGTCATAGGTTCACTTTTATCTCGCACTGAAAAGAAAAGCTGGGATGACATATTGGAGAAGTTGGAAAAGGTTCCTCATGTGGATGTTCAGAGTAAGCTAAAAATAAGTTATGATGCATTAGAACTTGGACAACAACATATATTCCTCGATATAGCTTGTTTTTTCATTGGACATGACAAAGACATTGTGGTCCATTTCTGGGAAAAATCTAAATTTTTTCCAAAAGTAGATATGGAAGTTCTGCAGAACATGTCTTTGATAAAGATTGGAGAGTATAATAAAGTGTTGATGCATGACCAACTCAGAGATTTCGGAAGAGAAATGGCTCGTCAAGAAAGTAAGATGAAAATAGAGGAGCAAAGGAGGGTATGGGATCCCAAGGAAGCATTGGATTTGCTGAGGAGACGTAAGGTAAAATCCCCCGTGCGATAAATCTCCATGTTACTTGTGGACATTTTTTTTTATAAAAAATCCAGTTACTTTTTTGTGTTCTCTAGCACTACTGTGACCTACTCAAACCAATATTTTTGCTCTGTCAAGATTAAAGTAACGATAGTACTCCAACTCAACCCATTAAAATAGTGAACTTGAATAAATGTGTTTCGCTTCAACTCTTTAGTTTCTAAATTTTACCATTGGGCAGGGAAAAACAAAAGTTGAAGCTCTTCATCTACACTTTGACCATGAGCGGCAGTACCGTTTTACCCGTAAAGATTTTAAGAGAATATCAAATGTGGGGTTTCTTCGAGTTAACGGTTCGGAGGAACATTTTTGTGTTGAAGAGAGGCTTCTTTGGCACGAATCACCATCAAATGTTCTTCCGGCTAATGTTTTTCGGGAGAATTCGTATCTCCTTCCGCATTTACGATGGCTTTCTTGGCACGGTATTCCCCCAACATTTAACATTGCAAATTTCTCCATGGAGAATGTGGTTATTCTTGATCTATCTGACAGTGAAATTACGGATGATTGGAAGGGGTGGAGCCATATGGAGGTATGTTATATGCTAGACAACACTTATTATTCCGTCTTATGAGATTCAAAAATAATCTTTGCATGATTTTTCTTTTCACAGGTGATGAAGAATTTGAAAATTTTGAATTTGACCGGATGCGATTGCTTGGAGAGAACTCCCATCTTCTCTGCTGAGGTAAATTTAGAACGATTGATCCTAAAGGGCTGTAAATCATTAACTGATATTGATAGGTCGATTTGTCATTTGAAAAGCCTAGTTTCCTTAGATGTAAGCTCTTGTAACAATCTTCGGAGGCTGCCAGACGAGCTAGGTAGAGATCTTGCGAGCCTTGAATACCTATATCTGAAACGTTGCACATGGTTCGAGAGGCTTCCAGATACAATCGAAAATTTGGAATCGCTGATTGAGCTGGATATATCCGAAACGAGGATCAAAGAACTACCCGATTCCATCGGAAATTTGGAATCACTGATTGAGCTGGATATAACCCTAACGAAGATCAAAGAACTACCCGATTCCATCGGAAAGTTGAAAAATTTGAAAGTAGCGAAGATGGATTTGAATGACATAAGTAAAATACCCGATGCCTTCTGGACAATTGAGAAGCTCGAAGAAATAGATGTCCGATGTACAGAGGATTTCAATGTGGAAGTGGAAATTGGCAATTGCATCTATAGAAATCGATCCCTAAGGATCTTGAAATTACGGAATGCTGCAATATACGTGGTACCGAGGCTTCCTGAAAGTCTTATCATTCTAAAGTTGTCTGACTTGTATATGGATACGTTTCCAGATCTCTCAAACCTGACTAATTTAAAGGTATTGAAGCTGCGGCTTAGCGAACATGATGCTGGTTGGGAATCTGATGGGCCTGTGCAAGAATATCCGATGCCAGGGGGGATTGGGAATTTAAGCAAACTGGAGACTCTGGAGCTATACTCTTATCGTGTGACCCACTTACCCACGGGTATTAGTAGTCTCCTTCCTCGACTCCAAAGACTTAAACTCCTGTGCCCTAATCTGCGTTGCCTCCCGAGCCTTCCCTCCAGTTTATTATCCTTGGAATTGAGGTCTGAACACATGACCGCCTTACCCATAGATATCGGTCTCCTTCCGCGACTCCAAAGACTTGAACTCCAGTGCCCTAATCTGCGTTGCCTCCCAAGCCTTCCCTCCAGTTTATTATTCTTGGATTTGGGCTCTAAACACATGACCACCTTACCCACAGATTGTTGGAGTCTCCTTCCCCGACTCCAAACACTTCAACTCTCCTGCCATAATCTGTGTTGCCGCCTGAGCCTTCCCTCCAGTTTATCATACTTAAGTTTGTCAGGTTGCAAGTCATTTGTTTTCCCCGGGGATCTATCGAATTTGACGAACCTATCAGATCTTTGGATTACTGACTGTGTAATCTCAGAGATTCGAGGCCTTGATGGTTCGGAGAACCTAGATTTGCAGCTTTCGGAACTTCAACAGGTGTGGGTATTACCTGATCTAAGTAATCTCAACCAACTACGGATTCTTCATCTGTGGAACTGCAGTAATCTGGATGAGATTCAAGGCGAACTACCACAATGTTTGGAAGAATTGACTATTCATGACTGTGGATCTTTACGGAAGTTGCCTGATCTATCAAGCTTGAAGGGACTGCGATCTGTTGATATAAACGGTTGCGGGAAATTAAATGTGGAGGCAATTTCTTTGCTTTGCTGGAAGAAGGCAATCAAATTTCGGGGATACTGAGATGCATCAGAGGTACAAGATGACGAATCTGGATACGAATTTGAATATGGATTTGAGGGAGAAGACTGACAGATAAGTGCACGTTGCTCTTGAAAGCTTCTTGATCGCCGGCCACAAATTGTTCCCTCGCGTGCAAACTTTAAACAAATTGAGGTAAGTTAGTTCATCTGACAACCAATGTTTTCCCTTTTTTGCAATCAAACTCTTTCACGGATATGAACAGAGAAGTTTCACATGCACTTTTTAATTACCTTTTCACGAGTTGATGACTAAAAATCTGATGAAGGTATTGGAATTATGATACCTCCGGACAACCAGAGGGTTCTTAATTATGTACAGACATTCGTTCCCTTCTACTAGTTTGGTTTGGCTTTTTTCGCCATATTCTCTTTGGATGGTTTCTCCTTGGTTTTATGTTTCCCAATTGGAGGTATGCAGGTCGATCGCATCGTTTTTATTTGGTTTGGTTTGTAACAAATTATTAGATATCCTTGTCGATTTGTTGCTTCACTTATTTCGAAGTTGATAACCTTGCTTCGCATTGGAGATAACTTCCTTGTACTGTAAACAATTAGATGGAATATGTGTCGAAGGTCATATAATAACTATGGTTCTCATCCCGAAACTTTACAAAGATACCGTGAAGAGGACAGACACTCGTATTGATATGCTTATGTTCAGTTTATTTTCCAGGAAAGATGTGCTTCTTAGTGGGATTTGCAAATATTATGGAGAAGTCATAAAATGAAGAAAGAGGAATTTTACTTGGGTAGCGGATCAATAGTTGGTGCAGCAAAACTTCCACCTCCAAGGTATCATAAATCGTCTTACAGTTAAGGCTAAATTTCAGTAATATCGTTACCTACTGCCCAGGACATATGATAAGTCTAACTTGGGGTTTGAAATCATGTAAATGAAACTCTTGTGTGATCTCGATTGTTGCCTACATTTTCTAGAAATGGTTATGCCTCGGTGATTATCTATCATAAAAGCCCTTCCTTTCACCTCGGTTATACTAGAGGATTCTTTTAGGTTTTAAGATTGACAAGAAGTGCTAAGTGAGAGATCTCAAACTGCCTTTTTGCCAATTTCTAATGATGTTGAGAGGAATTAAAGTTTGAAAAACTCACAGAAATCTTATTGCGCAAGGAGCTGTGGCTAATTGGGCAGCTGTACAAATGAAGACCGAATAAAGGAAAATGAAAATGACATCCAAAGTGAAGTTTTATGTCCTCTTTTTATTTACTTTATGAGTTGATGCCTGGAAATCTGAAGAATGTATTGAAATTATGGTACCTCCGTATAACCAGAGGGTTCTTAATTATGTACAAATATATGTTTTTTTTTCCTAGTTTGGTTTCGCTTTTTTAGCTATATTCTCTGTGGATGGTTTCTCCTTGCTTTTATGTTTCCCAGCTGGAGGTATGCATGTGGATTGCATCGTTATTATTTGATTTATGACAATTCATTAGATATCCTTGTCGATTTGCTGCTTCACATATTTCGAAGGTGATACCCTCTGCTTCACATTGGAGATAACTTTGCTATACTGTAAACAATCAGATGAAATGTGTGTTGGAAGGTCATAGCACTATGGTTCTCATCCTGGAATATTACAGCATAATTAACTCATTGTTGCTATTGTGAAGAAGACATTGTATTGATATGCTTATGTTCAATTTTTTTTTCAGGAAAGGTGTGCTTCTTAGCGGGATTTGCAAATGTTATGGAGAAGTTATAAAATGAAGAAAGAGGAATTTCACTTGGGTAGCAGCATCAATAGTTGGTGTAGCAAAGCTTCCATCTGTGACAGGAGAGGAGAACTATTTAGCTTGGCCAAGGTATCATAAATCATATTATAGTTGAGGCTAAATTTCAGTATTATCGGTGTATCGGACATGTGAGGAGTCTCACTTGGGGTTTGAAATCATGAAAATCGACCCTTGTGTGATCTCCATTATTGCCTCCATTTTCTTGAAATGGTTATGCCTAGGTGGTTATCCTGTAATAGAAGCCTAGCTGTATAGATGGAGACCGAAGAAAGGCAGATGATGGATGAAATTTGATGTTGATCATGTTCCCTCTCACAATCTTGGGGTGGTAAACCCTGTATTCATCTGTTTTGGAGGGTAAAAAAAGCTATTTAGGCAAACCTGATTTTTTTTCCTTTATTGTGGGCTGAAAAAATGATTATTACATTTCATCTAAATGTGTGTTCTCTTCATTGTTATGCAATAGAACTTGCTTATCAGTACCCAGATGTTCTTTTATGAGAAAACACTTGAAGGGATTGTCTGGACCGGGAGAAAAATTGTGTGCTTAGAGTGGTGCTCAAGGCAGTCTTAGTTGCTCTTGCCAAAACCAGTTCATGGACCTCTCGATGTGAAAATGGTGTTCAAGGTAGTCTTTGTCATGAGTATGATAGGCACTCACAACACAAGAAACATGAATTGTTGGAATTCATGGAATGGGCCTTGTTGGAGAGACGACTCTCGCCGAACTTATCTACAATCAGCTTTCACATGGTTTTGAGCACTATTGCTTTTTCTCTAACATCCGTGAAACTTAAGAGCTCGAGGGCATTCAGTCGTGCAGAATAACTCATCTCCAATATCCTCAAAAGGAAATTGACAGAAATAAGTAATGTTGATGAAGGGATCAAGACAATTAAAGATAGGCTTTTTTGTGAAGGAATTCTCATCCTTTTTGATGATGTTGACCAGAAGAATCGTTTGAATGCACTCATGGGTAACATCTGTGATGTTCGGGCATTACTGAATTCTTCAATGCTGAATATCAAGCGTTGAAGGATCTCGAAATTCTCAGCGCTTTTTGTTTGTCATTGAATATCAGTGCTTTTTGTTGATTGAAGGTACTGCCATCCTTAATGTGAGTTGATCGGGTTGAAATACTTCGCAGAAAGGGATAACATGCGTGAGGCCTCTGATCGTTTCAACTTGAAGAGGTTCCACTGATGCAATGTCTGGCTTGCTTAGAAGATTCAGCCATTTCTTGAAAAATTTAGAAGACATGCTCAGCAGAGGAGTTCATTTTCCAATAAGAAGTGCATGTGGTACTTGAAAGGTCCTGCATCCAAAGCTAAGTCTGTTGTCAAGGAAGATTTGAAACTTAAACAAATTTCTTATTGTCCTATGTCATCTCAAGAGATATTCACTGTAGTCTTTCCTGGGATCGTTATCTGTTATACATAAATTACAATCACACTTTGGCAAGTTGACATGAAATCTATTGTTGTAGGCATAGTTATTACTGGCTGTTTTTGCAGCCGTTTTCTACCTTTAAGATGGACGTTGTAAACTGCTCATGAAATGGGACCGTGGTTTCTTTTGATCTATTTCATGAGTTTGATTTGGTTTAGATATATTACTTTTTGACGGTTTTGGTGGGCTAATTGAGTTACCAATAAAAGACAAGTCAAATTGATGCTAGTGTTACTGCATTAAAGTGCATTACTTTTGTCAATTTACACGTGGGTCATTTATGTGAGGTCCTTGGAACTTGCTGGTTTGTACTTTAAATTTGAACTTAATAACCATGCCTTGTAAAACTTAACTTTGCTATACCTTAAACAATGAAGGATAGTCAAACGTGTAGGTTTTAATCCGTGATAAAAGCTCTTTTGTTCATTTTCGGTTACCTAGGTATGGAGCTTTAGGTTTCAACATTGGTAAGGAGAATCGCTAAATGACAAAAGAGTCCTATATGTCGGCCTGAGCTCTTTCTCTTGGTAATAAGCAAGAAAAACTTCCGGGTTCTTATTGCAAAGGTAAGCTGGGGCTAGCGCAGGTAACTCGTAGATTTGACGATAGCGTATCTTTCTCAACGTTTTGGTGCTGTACTTTAGCTTTTATTGTAATGTACAAACTATAGCTTATCATATAGTGTCAAGGACTTAACTGGTCTCTTGCACAACGTGCTTTGAATGTTTCACAATTGGCAATTTATGCTTTGAAATGATGAAGGAATTTCGGTTTTCCGGTTTTCACTAATGTTAATTCCGGCATATGAAAAATAGAAGGTAAAAGCTTATAGCTTTCGTTCCAAAGGCCGATCAGATCATTTTTACATGTCTAAACAAAGATGATATAAATTGCTTACTTCCTAAAGGTTGAAATCCAGCAGAGGTCGTCAATTGAAATGACGCACACTTTAGATAAGATCATTTTTTTCCGAGATGGCTTGATTTATCTGTCCTGCCATGGAACAGTCGAAGTACTTGGTTGCGCCGAGAAATCTTTTATGTGCCATTAAGCCAGTAGTAGATGGTAAGGTCACAGATTGAAAAGTGTTCTCCCTAGACAGTCTTTGTTTCGCCTTATAAAACCGGTTAATCTCTGAACCATGCAAGTCTAACAGTCCCAGAATTCACAAAGTTCTGCCAATTTTGTGAAGTTCAACACAAGTTCGACCCCCAAAAAAAGAAAAAAAAAGGAAAGAAAAGAGCGGCGTGATTTAGCTGTGGATAGCTCAGCTCAGCATCCACACATCCTAATTAGGTTTTATTGAGTCTAGTAAAAAATGCCACAGGCCCAAGATTAGATTGACAGGTAAACTTCCGAGCGCATTCATTCAATATGTACCACAAAGTTGTGTTTACAAGGATGATACATTCAACTTCATGCTATTTACATTCCAAGTGAATTTTAGTAGAGATCCTATGCATCTTGTGATGGACATGGAAACAGATTGATGGAATGCATTACATGAACAAACTTCATCCAGAGTTACCTAATGATCTTCACGAAATTAGGTGCTGACTTGGGAGCATTTTACGTTAAGTTACTCTTGGCATCGGAGTCTTAACGCAGCCTCAATGCAGAAGAAGAAGGATTCCTGGAAAGCATAAGGTATCCTTTGTCTTCGCTTCCATATTCCTTGAATCGTGGGTCCATGACAATTTTGCACGATCCCCACGTCTCCGCCATTAATTTTGCACCATAGTAGAGTAAATGGTTCGTGAGGCTATTACCAGTTACCAATCTGCAGAAACATACTATGATAAGTCATCCGTAAATATTTCCGGTAATAAAAGACTGGCATTCTCTAGAACAAGCCGATCTGTCACATGACTTATTGCACCTAGCATGATAAATCCACAAAATAATTGCTTGTAACAGGTAGCTATGACTGAAGCTACCTCCTTACCTGCTGCAAATTGGATCTTCTCCAGAGCCATCACAAACTTTCTTGACCTAATAAACCAGACAAACAAATCCTATATTATACAGCCGTACCTACAAAAAAAGAAGGATTCCAATTACATGTGAACACTCACATAAAAAAGAGTAAGATTATCACCAGACAAGCAGGTGGAATCAAATTATTTTCACATTATCTCACATCAATATGTTTATCCGTGACTGTCATTGAGCTAGTTGTCAATATTATAGGCATTAGTAGACATACATAATTTAAATGATTAATACTTTATAATTGCACAGAGCTCAAGACTAGGTCATCAACCATCATAGAGAGAGAGAGAGAGAGAGAGAGAGAGAGAGAGAGAGAGAGAGAGAGAGAGAGAGAGAGAGAGAGAGAGAGGAGAGAGAGAGAGAGAGAGAGAGAGAGAGAGAGAGAGAGAGAGAGAGAGAGAGAGAGAGAGCAATACACATTATTACGCGTCTTAAATTTGGAATTGGTACAAGAAACTCATGATAGCTTTATAGGAATGAGAAGAGTTCCTTAAATATTGTTAAAAAGGTCCTGAGTACTATGAACTGCCTTGCTTTGTTGAGAAGATAAAACAAACAAAACCTATAAAATTATATGCTGAAAAAAACGAGAGTATGAACATTGTTGGAAAAAATAAGACTTCTCCGGTTAGATAGGTTGAAATAAATGCAAAGGAAATGTCAAATGCAGTCAACGACAATTCCCCATAATTTATCTGATATTCCGTCAAGATCAAAGTCATACCACCCTAGGGAAGTGATGGTATGTCTTTTGTGGGAACTGAGAATAGTACGGAGGCAAATGAGGCACAATATATGTCCATTAGTTATTTGTATAGTATTTGGCATGCAGTAGTAAGAAACAAACATTGCATTGCCAATACTAGGTTGTCCAAATGTAAAAACCTGGACAATCTGTGCTTCATGATTTGCCTGGAAATTAAGTGTCCTTAGTTATATAAGTAAATCAAGTGAGCACTGGTCTGGAAAAAACAGCTCCACCACACATAATTAGACAGCCAAATTACTTGAATGTTAATACTTTCACGTGGGGAAAAACTACTATGCATCAATAACCATATATTGCATCTCACATACGAAGGTGAATGATAGAACAACCCTTTCTCTCCATGAGGGTTGGAGGTCTAGTGTTAATTTGTCTAGATCCCATCCATAATTTTCCCAAAACTAAACCCCACAGCCACAACAAAACCCACCCCACCACCCTCACATCCAAAAAAGGTGTTAATAATATGGAATGGTGGTATTGGGCGTGTATTTTCAACCAAGGCGCATTTAAATGCTTCCACAAGAAGCACTTGGATGTTGGTGGGGTGAGTCATATCCTACTGACATAAACAAGAAATTCCAGGTTCGTGGTGAAATTGCCTCTAGACACCCAAAACTTACGGTCATTAATAGTAAAGGAGAAACAAAATCTTAAAAAGGGCCACTACGCATGGAAAGGGCCACGACCCATGGGCATGACGTCACAATCGGCTCAGAACAATTTTCAGCAAGAAACCAGCAAACAAAAATGACATCTTAAACCATCCAAGTGTTCAGACAAGATGTCGCAGTTGCTATTAATACTTCGAGAAAAGGTTTAGTCTAAAGTTCATCCAACCTATGATCCTATCATAGGCCACGTGAATGTCTGTATAATCTGAGTTCAAGACAAAGTTTGACCCTAAAAAATCACTATTTGTCATGGAGAAGAGAATTAATGGGACATGACTTTGGGGTGGGTACCATTTCTGGTACCAGTTCCACAACAGGTGCCTAGAAAACTCTGGACCACTTTGTCCAATAAAGCTGAGACAAAAAGCATAAGTTAGACATTTAGAATTGGTTCCAGCCTACAACATATCTGGCCAGTAGCCCGACTGAAAAGGAGCTGCTTCTTTTGGTTAGAAAGAGACAGACAGAAACAGCGCACAGAACACAGATTTAGGATCAATATATTCTAGTCTAAAAAGCATTAGCAATTCAAGATTACATGACATAAAATTTGAGCTTCAGGCGCTTGCAAAAGTTATATATCGAGACCATAAACAAATCAATAATCCCATAAAGTTTCCAGCAAGTAAACTTTGTAATGATTAGTTGGAAGTCTTTATCCACTATATTTAGGTATTCAACCAACTTTAAGCTCCATGGCTTAACATGTAAGACAATTCACACAACTAAATACGTAGACCATAGATGGTTCAGGTAAAGGGTTGTTTGCAACCCATTCTGCTTGTGTTTTGTCTACGGGTTGATTTACCAAAAAAGAAAAAAAACAAGATGCTGACCAATTGTAAATATAAATATGAAGCCATAGAAAGTTCAAGATATCCAGAGTCTCCAGAGTCTAGACTCTTCAAGGCAGAGTTGGCAGAGTTGGCAGAGAATTCCGGGTAACTCTTAATGACCAAAACCGAATAAATGGAAGAACACAATAGAGAAGAACCAATATCTCGAACCCATAACAAGTTTTTTAACTATCTTACCATGATATAAGTCCGCAAAAGTATGCCATAGGCCCTCCCATAGAATGCCCTGTCACCATGACGTTGATGTCAAATCCTTGGCTCTTCTAACAGCATCCAAAGTACCAGGTTGCACCGTCGTATAGCGACAAGCATAATAAATCCATGATGAACCTAAGCAAAGACAATAGAATAAGACTGTAACTCATTCCAAATCAGAAGTATCCACAACTTGCAAGAGGCTCATCATCTCTAGAACCATGGCTACAGGCATGCGGGGGTAGTTTAGGTCAAGCTGTTTCCAGTAGAAATCTTCAACCCAGTTCTGTATGCTGTAGACATAAATAGAAGTAACCACTAACTGAAAAGTTCAAACAACTTTTCCAAGAACAAAAATTAGTGAAGTATGTGATCTCCTCATGACTCCTTCTAAATTTACAAGCACATAACTTGCATGTCTCAGTGGAAATGATTCACTGTTTTCCCTTCTTATGGACAGCAGACCCATGTGCTTTGTGTACGCACTCACCGGAGGCTACTCTTCTTAGCTTAAATTTTCATCAAATCCTTCGCATGTCAAATGTAAGAGGTATAATTGCTAAAGTTAACATGCATACCTATGTTCTTGAGTACCTTCGAAAGCTATAACCGCAGCATTAAGGTCCTGGCCACGCCAATAGATGCCTATAGGTAATATATATTGATTAGAAATAAGGACAAAAAATTAGATGAAATTCAAACATAGAGGCATCACAGGCATCGCAAATTGGTAGGCCACTGCAACATGAATTACATACCTATAAGCAGTGCTGGACGTCAACTATCAGATCAATGAATTAGAACCCCTGCTTTCAAATCCAAAGGCATTAATAACCAGTCAGAAGCTAATAAGAGAAGGCAGCATATGCCCACAAAATCTCATCTCAAGAATTGGCCATTTAGTACTGAGGACCTATTCTTTACGCAACCTTAGCAACAATGTCATATTAAAATGCAGTTAGATTACCTTGGTCTTTCCATCACAACCAGGACATGTCCAACTAAAAAGTTCTGTCAAATCTGACATGTAAACTTGCAAAATAAAAAGCTTTGCATCTTGTTACGATGTTATTGTATTGAAATTGGTGAAATCTGAAGGTAATAACAAGAAGCTCTAAGTAAACGGGAAAATCTTTATAAAGAACACTTACTACAGATGCATACTCCACGACCATCGTCACAAGAGCGTGATTGTAAACAGCTTTATGAGCCTTGGACCTCACTCAAAGTTCTGCATTTACCAGTAGAGAAGATTTTAGATTGAAAATGCGGTCACAAGCTCATTCAATTACAAGCAACGAGGCAAGTTTCTTATGTCTCTAGCAAGCTATTTCGACAAATCAAGTGAGAGGAACACTTAAGGAAACATCAACCCAAACCAATATTTTCAGTATATATCTGCTGTCCTTCGTGAACTTAAAGAACTAATTTTATTCCCAAAGTAGAAACAGCAGGATGAAATTTGTATCGAACAAATATGACCATATTCCAGACGTAGCATTGATCCAAACTCGGTAATCCAAGAGCTTAATAGAACGAACCAAATACAACACAACACTATCAGTCCTATGCTTTGAAAACATCCAAATCGTACACCTGAGGGATCACTCAGCTATAGTCTGTCCCATTCAATCAGGCACCACAGCTCCACAACACAGTCAACTATTCCCCCCCAACCCTGAAATGCCTAATCAGCCAAAATTCACAATTCAAATCTCACTGTCCAAGCTCAAAACCAACCCACTCAATACCAGGGCCTGTCAATTCTCACTATCAAAACTCCCAAATCCGGATTGAGTCAGAGGATCAGGGCAGCAGTAACTGATGCCATGAACGCGAATTGCAATTACCTCTCGCCCCACTCCACTCGCTGCAATCAAGCGTTGTCAGAACAACCATCACTCCCAACCACGACCCGTTCCGCTCTACATTCTACGAGAGAATCGGATCGAACAGCGTCATCGAGAAAAAACCGAAAACCGCGCCACGGGAAAAATCCAATCGCCGCACGTTTCGCATGCGCAGACGCGATCAAATGGCGCCATCGCGCAGCGAGATAGAGAGTGATCGATCGCGATCTTTGTCCGCATTGCTCGGATTCGAACCTCGATTCCGGTCTCGCAGGTTCGTGTGGATTCTTATGGCGATTGAAAGCCACGGCGACTTGGGTGCAAAGGAAGGAGAGGACGGTGAATTTTACTGACTTTTTTCCTGATTTGCCCTCGGGATCTTCTTCTGTTGAAGGGCACATCCGGTGATTTCGTCGTTCGCGTGAGGGCACCGAAGGAAGTTCAGCTAAGAAAATTCAATTTTGGGGTTGTATCTTCTCAGTTCTCTCTCTTTATGGAGACTTCCCTTTGGTGTCCCCACGTTAGCACTTTTTGACTCGAGCTTAGTTCAATTAGCTGGTTCGAACCCGGTTTATGGAACGACGCCACTTAAATTAAATAACACGCCCCCCACGTTGACGAGAATGGCGAGGCCGAGTTGGAGGGCGATGAGGTTTGATGTTTGCCTTCGCCGTATTTTACTGGATTAGTTGGAATTTTGGTGCCGGATCAGATTCGGCGGATCTCTTGTTTGCTTGCCAGGGTTCGCCGGGTCGGCTGCGGTTATAGGTATCTGCTGGCATTTTGTGCTAGGAAGTGGACGTGTGCTTCGTTTTTGAATACGTGATTTTAAGAAGTTTTGGAATGAGCGTGGGATTTCGGATCGAGGATGTCGAGTTAGGACACTTTGAGTTGAGTTGCTGTTCTACTGGGTTTCCTGGGATTGTTTCACTGGGATTCGGTAATGCAGATTCGGGCAATGGAGCTCGAGTGTCTGGAGTCGAGAAAGGAAAACCCGTTTATCTGTTGATAAGGTTCAGAGAAACGACTCTAAAGACTGCCGGTATGATCAAACCTCCCCAATCCACCATGGCCATCGGATCTTCCGCAAGCTCAGGAGGTCGAGCACCTCCACTAAAGCCCACACTGAACCCTGTTACACTAATCTAGTTCGAGAGATCTGGAAGTTGTCTTCGTGTGCAATTGCGACAACCGTAGTCTTTCAAGACTTGCCGGAAGCCTCGGTACTGCGTGTATTTGAGCACTCGTCTGTTTCAAGATCGTGTGAGATGAACTCCCGTAGATGTCATTTGATTTTTTCACTAAGCGCTTTTAACTGACCGATGGATTTACCAATTGTCACCAAGTTTCTACGTTCTTGTAGGATCAAATCTTCTAAATTTGCATGTTGCAGAGAAATTAGGGGTTCCCTTCAAGCAACAGCGGCAGCCGGTCAGACTTAAAATCATGTAAATTACTCGAGTGTTTGATCTTACAAAATCGGATGCTAATAAATGTCACATAGCATAGTAACCTACCTTCATGTGGCTCCATGCTTTCCAATCATGTGGAATTTCACTATGAGATAGATTGAGAATAGTTAGATTCACCCAGGGAAAATTCGCTATGTATAAGCATTCGAGGGAAATTATTCAGAGAAAGCCCGCGCAATTCTGGAAGGAGAATTGAAATCCCCAGAGAACATTGGTTGGAAGAACGTTTGATGAGAAATTGTCCCAAGAAAACCCTCGCTTGCGTACGGACATCTTCCTTAAGTCCATTTTTCAGGCTTGCTAAAGAAACAAAGTCCATGTTAATAAGAGAAAGCAAAGGTCCATATGTCTTCAGTGACTTACATCGACCAACTGCAATACGATGAAATCATATGCAGGCTTTCGTGCTTTTCTTCGAAACATTTTATTTGATAATTGGGTTCGATTGAATGTTTTCAATAAGCAAGCGAAGAAATAGTCAACATTAAATGAGACAATAGGAGGACATTCAATATAGGTTAATCTAGTAACTACACAGGCAATTAAATTGGCATAATCGGAACTATTTATCTGAATTATTGTAGTTAAAGTGGTGAAAATGGTTGCACCGATGCATGCCACGTAACTATTGCATTCGTGTGTGGGTTTGCTATACCAACTTGGTCTAGTGAGGTGTGTGATCTATCTACTTGAATTTATCTTTGAAAACGTCATTTGAAAGAGAGAAGTTGCATACTTGAGATCGGAAAGGAATTGAAACCTTACCGAAGATCGAGTTGCAATCTTAAATGGTGCACAATTGAATTGGGATAAGAAGATCGCATGGGAGATAGTTCAAAATCTAATAAGAAATTAGTGCCAACCTATCATTAAGCACCAAAAGTCGTGAATTCTTGAACTTTTACCTTTTTTTCAAGAAATATATTTCAATGAATTTTACCAGTCTCCGACTGCTTTGACTTTATGCTAATGTGGGGCTCCCAGAGCATCATAGTATTTCTCACGGGACTTTCATGAGAAAATTACTTCTTCTAGCATGACCGAAAATGGCGCATCAAGCTTGAATCAAAACCCTATGTTCCTTTAACGACGCTAAGTCAATTTACAAAGCTTAGTCAAATTGCGAGGGTAGAATTTGAGTTTACCTTAAAAAAGAGCTTGTTCGAAAACACAAAAACATTCTCTATTACTTTTGCTTCTGACTTCCCCTTTACAATTAGAAAATAAAATAAAAATATTACTCATGCTCTATATTTTCTATTGATATTTCTCTCGATATTATATGTACTTTTAAGTTGCGAATAACAGCAAGATTTGTGAGTAGAAGAATCCAGAAATATACTTGATCTCCTAAATTTTGCTGGACCAAACTAAGCCAATGACAAAGTGATTGGATGCCTGGATGGCCTTCCATTGAGTTCCTTTGGCACTAACTAACTAAGGGCCAACTCACACTGTCCCTTTTTCACTAACTTAGAAGGACCATCTTAATCCTCTTTCCATTGCAAACAACGCCATTCAATTCAAAGTCTTTTTCACTATCATTTGACACAATTAATAAATCCATAAATTAATTAGAAATCTTGAAAGAATCAATTGACAATAGTTTATTGCGGTAGTTTGAATGGGGTTTTTTTTTTAAGCATAGTTTGGTTCGATGTGACTCTCTAATTCCTTCAACTACTACCTCCAATAAATATCGGTAACGAAGGAGAGGTTTGGAGAAACGTGGCCAAGCAAGCTTTCGATGAGTTGAAAACGGCTCATTTGATAGTATCCAAATGCTCGGTCGGAGTCGACAGTCACATGAATGAAATCATGAGTATGGTTCGTGTTGTGAAAACAACTCTCGCGAAAATCATCTCCAATCAGCTTTCGCAGGATTTTGCTAATTGTTGATTAAATTTTTTCTAAACACATGTCTAGTTTGTTTTGGCGCAAAAGCACGGCCCTTAATTGGATTCACAGGAGTTGAAGAGAAGCTATACCAATTATTGATTGTATTCAGGAATGTTTCCAGCTGCAAATGGACTTGGTCTAACGTTGTTTAATGTCGAGCTTAATATGAAATAATGACTCAAATCCTTTAATTTCTTTTTGGATCGAAAAATCCAAATCCTTTAATTTGAGATGAATACAAGTGTGACAAAATTTCATCCAAGTCTGAAGATTTACCATAGGCAGTCTCGCATTGTCTGCAAGTTGTTTCCTTTTTGCCTTTTTTTTCTATTACAATAGATAATCTGCAAGTATTAGCTGAGAAGGCGACGAGCCACACCTCTCAAATGGTCCATAACTCAGCTGGACAAAAGCTGAATAGCCGATATTCAATCACTGTGAGGCACTCTAACAAAATCTATCCCCAAAGTAGAAACAGCAGGATTTGAGATTCGCATCTAACAAATATAAGGAAATTCGACCAATCTGACCATATTCCAGGTGTATCATTGATCCAAACTCGGTAATCTAGCGGCTTAACAGAGCCAACCAAATACAACTCATCGCAGGTCGGTTATATGCTTTGAAAACATCCAATTGTAGACCAAAGGGATCATTCGCTACGATCTTTGTTCGTATTGCTCGAATTCAATCTGCGGCAATGGAGTTGAAAGCTACAGCAATTTGGGGGCGAAGGAAGGAGGGGACGACAAATTGACGGATCTTTCCTGATTTGCCCTCGGATCTTCTTCTGTTGGCGGGCATTATTCGGTGTCAGATTCGGTGATTTCGTCGTTTACGTGAGGGGCACTGAAGGAAGTTTCGCTAAGATGGGAACGTTCAGAAAGACCTACACGGCGATGCCTTGCAGTTGTATTGTAGCCTTGACTAAATGAGACGTGCTTTTTTGGACTTTGGGTTCCTTTGATGTCTCCACATTAGCATTTTTGACTCGGGACCGGTTCAATTAGTTGGTTCCAACTTGAATTCAAGTTAATAGTTTATCTGCTGTGGAGGTATAGGAAAATGTGATTACTCCATTACGATGGCAAGCTTCTCGAGTCAAATATTTTCAAATTCAAGCTCGAATTGATCTAATAACTCGAGTTCTGCAAATTTGAAAAGAAGGTAATTCAACCTAAGTGCCTACCAAGTTGAGCTTAATTACGAGTTGTGGAGCCCACCTCTCTTGGGTTGGAGAGACAATATGATGACTTGCTATTACGCAACAATTCTTGAATACTCTCTAAATGACTTATATTGAATTGGATGCAATAGCTTTTTATTAGATAAATTAACTCTGATTGTGAGTCGGGTCATTTTGTCTAAAAACTTACGGGACTATTGACAAAGCGACTGCAATGGGAAATCATGGCATTTGTTATCCCATAATTGCTCGATTGGAGATATGAATTGTACGATCATCGGGGTTGAATGCTTTACATGTAGAAGAACACGAAATACAAGAGAAGGCGCCCATAAACTTCGAGAACAGAAGAAAAATGAAAAGCCAGAAAACAATTTAAAACAAAAATAACGAAAAACGCAAACCCTCCTCTGCTTCCTCCAGTTTCGGACACCGTCTCCGATCAAACGGGTACGATTCTCCCACCGTTCAGTCCGACTCTATCCTCCTCCCTTTTTTAATTTCGGATCGTCCCTCGGATTCTGATTCGGCCTCTCTCCCTCTCTAGCACAAACAGTGACGACCTTGACCGAAGATCAATCGACCGATGTCTGCCGAAACCGGTTTTCAGCACCGCCATGGCTGGCGAGACCCTAGAAGCAGCAGGCATCGTGCGAGTAATAATTATTCCTCTATTTGGATGTGAATCTTATAAAACTTAATTAGAGTCTCAGAGAAATAATTGTTTTTTGGCCATGAAGATAACAATGACCATATGCATAGTCTGTCATGCATCTCAAAGCAGACAGCTTTCTGTGACTTCCGTTGCAAGTTTGTGGTTTCCGTTCCTCTTCAATGCTGCTTATCTTCCTACCTCTCTCCGTCTTTGAGTTTTCAAAGAAGATAATAGCAAAAGACGCACCAAACTTTGCAGGCAGAGCTTACCATCAGCAGATTGACAGAGGAGAGAAGTTTGCAGAATCGAGAGAGAGATGCACTTAAGCGTGACCTGGTGAGTAATGTGCACTTTAATGTTTTCCCCATTACGTGCATCATGCCAATCTTGCCCCATCTCCAAGATATGGTGCAGTATACTTTCTTTCAACATTCGAATACCAAAGCTTACGGGGAAAGATTGTTGCTTTGTTCAACAGGAGATGTTGAGGAAGACAGGTGGGAGAGCAATTCAAGTGGGATTTCCATTCCTGTATGTTTGTGCGGTCGCTCTTGTTGCCCTTGCAGTTGGATACATTATCCACCCGTAGCTGAGATGGTTTTGGTCGCCGCCTAATTGGGCTTTAAGTAGATTGTGTATATCTAGGGTTCAGCATTGTGTTGCCTTATTTTTTCGTCTGCAATCTCATGTATAAACCTGGAAGCTTTGGTATTTCAGTTGGAGATGATGTGCTCTTAAAATGTATATTCCTGGTTTGACTCTATGGATGGTGTAATTGGAAAAATCTTGAATTCCCAAAAGACAAAAATGCAAGAAAAGTTCCGCAATCATTGTTGTTATTATTGGTATTTACAAAAGTTCCGGTACTACAAGACATAAATGTTATTGTTGATAACTACAATAATCTCGCAGCAGTTTTTACCAAACATAGTAATCATTGTGTTGCCAAATACA